CTTGTAGATGAACTTAAAATTTCAATTTTTCTTTCTCCACTGTTTACAACAACCTTTTTCTCCAAAAGTTTTGTAATCAGGTCCAAATCTGGGAAAAATTCACCTGGAATAGCCTTGTCATAAGTAAAACTGAATTCTCCTTTATCTGTGTCGAAAGCACTGTGAAAATTATCATTTTCTTCCAAAATACCAGGCAATTTAAGTCGCAGGTAATATGGCGAACATGTAAACAAAAAGTTGTCACCTTCAACATTCACGTCCAGTTCTTTTAACGAACAGTACGGAGCACGAATGTTGATTGTTACAGTGTTTTCATCTTGCTTGAGTGAAAAACGTGGAGTTATCATTGTAAAATATACTTTTCATATTAATAACATGCCGATGATAATGTAAGGTTAGGTCTTTCGACATAACCACAACTAAAATGTCATCGTATGATAGTGGCTATATAATAGCAAGTGGTTAAATAGCTGCTAAATGAAATAAAAGTAAAATAATTATTGCAATTATTCATTATTTAAATTTATTTTACATTAAAAGAATAGGCAGTTACAGTAAAAAATTTAAGCCTTAAGTATTCACAGTCTTAAAAATAATGTGAAAATCGAATAAGAAACAAGAAAGACGCCTAAAGTAAAACATAATTATCTTTTTGAATTTTTTAAAAGTAGAGAAGCTTTTAATTATTTTATATACAATAACAGGTCCCGCCAATAGTCCAACAGGTGATGCTCCTGTATCTCGATTTGGTAAGGTGTTTTTAAAGTGCCAAAGTTTGCTTGGGACTAGCAATATATTTACAAAGTGCACTTTACTATTATACATACATATTTGTATTTTCACTATTGTCTTTTCGTTTGTGTAAATACACATTTATACACAGCTTTGACATTCTGCGTACCATAATATCAAATTTGTGTGTGGTTTTGTGTTGTGTTATTTAAATATACATGTAATTTGTAGCACATATGCGTTAATTTTTTTTGTAGTTCAGTCTTTTGTTTGTCATTAAGCATTTTAAAGTATTTTACTACATGACGCGACATTTACAATAAAAAGTTGAAAATATGAATTTAAATTATAATCGAAACGTTTTCTCTTCTAATTGACAAATCATTAAAATGAGTACTTACTTATGAAGCATTGTAGTCATAAGAAGTCGTAAAAGTTTTTGTTGTTGCACAAAGCTATATAATTGCATTTTTAATGTTGATTGCCTTCTTTGGACTTACACTGCATGAAAATAGAACTACAAATTTTTTAGAAAAAGAAAGCCAAGATTGTCACTTAAAAAAATCAACTCACATAACATTTAGAAAATAATTGATACGCATTTGAGATAGAGAAAAAAACTAACAAAATTCTGAGGATTTTGTTTATTTTTTGTCATGAAATTATGAAAGTAATTGATTGAGAAGGATTATTTCTAAATGCTTTGTTTTTTCAGTATCAGCTGATGAAAGTATATTAGGCACTGTTGCAATTTTAACTACAGAAAAACTTCTGGAAATCATTGAATCTTCTTATCCCAATCCAGTTGTTATTTCTGAGATTGCTAAGTAAGAATTTTTTAACTATTTCAATTGATTAAAGTATTATGATAATAACAATGAATTTTAGAGAACATGGTTGGGACGAAGAAGAAATTTCAGCCTGTCTTGCGGAATTACAAAACAGAGGGCTAATTAAATCAATGGAACACGGCGCTTTTACTCGTCAACAGTCGCAAGATGCCCAGGTTACAGTGGTCAAACAAATGCCGACAATTGCCAGTGCTCATCAGCCTACAATTGCTATAATTACCGCACAATATTGCGAAAAAATTGCAGTGGACGCAATGATAGAAAATAAAGAGACCTTCGTACGATACACAACAATTGGTGAGCATTAATTAACTTCAAATTTAAAATTTTTAANCAATTGTAGTCGTTTGAAAATCGAGAGCGGTCCAGACAGGCTTAAGAAAAGGCGATTTTTAGTTAATTATTTAATATATAATAAATAGTACATCACGTAAATTACGAATTACATTAGTTAAAGAAAAATGAGTAACTTGTCGTCGAATGTAAATAATATACTTGTATGTAATGAATTTAACAATAATAATTCTTGATACATACATATAATAGTAACATGAGAGAGAACTGCACACGCTTTATGAAACAAAAGTATAATATTATGAAAGTGTTACGTAGATATCGAGATGATCCGTAACAGCATTATTATTATTACTATTATTATTATATTGCCAAAACTGTAAGTAAAATAAGTTGTATGGACAATTTATATTGTCAAAAGTAGCATACTAAATGTTGTGTATGTACAAATTGTAGTAACTGCCGCCTTCGTTCAATTAATTCCTTTGCCCCTTTAGTTTTTCGAGTGCACGTTCTTCAAGAGTAGCACATTTTTAAAAAAAGACAATTATATACAGAACATAAAAACTGGCATCATAATATGTAATATTATTCTGTAGCAGTGTTGTAGATTGTCGATAAATTGTTTAATTTTCCCCTCTTATTTTTATTTATTTACGTTGTCTGGTAAGTTTGATTGTGCCAGTAGGCTGGTTAAGTCTGTCGCAAATAATGTTTGAATTCACTACTTACTGGTCCAGTTCAGGTCATCGTTGTATTATTGATTGTACGACCGGGATGAAGTTATTTTTGTGATTCTTTAGATGTTAGAGAGATGATGAGATCACAATAAAATGTACAAAATTTATATAAATCTTGTAAAAAAAGAAGTATTTAAAAATTAAAAAAGAAAATTATTAATGCCTTCCTGCCATTTTGGGGTCTGCCAGACTCGTTATTTGTGAGAAATGTTGTCGTGATAATGATATTTTCAAAACAAAAATAAAATGAAAAAGTGGCCTTTTATCTGAAAAAATTATTCCTTTGTGTGTCGTCGTGTTTCCTAAATAAAAAATTGTAGGTTTTTATAAATTTTTGTTGCTCGTTTAGGCTGTCGTGTTCAAAAAAAGTCTAGTAGAAAAGTGCCTTTTATATATTATGACCATTTGTCATGTGTTGAAAATTTTTTACAAAATTTCGCTCTTGATATCTGTTTTTTGGGAGTGGTAAAACCCTAAATGGCAAGTTTTTCATATCTACATACATAATATTGTAAATTGTATAATTAGATTTAGGCGAAAGTGATTAAAATTGGCAATTATACTTGCGTAATGTACCATAATTCCTTTCCAAACTGTATAAGTACTCTGTTTACCTTTTTGTTTCCAATATCGTTTTCTATTACATTTTCAACTAGTTATTGATTACTCAATAACGGCTAAGTAAATAAAATACAGCGATTTTTTTCTTAAATTAAAATCCAGTCGCTATGTTATTAAAGAACGGTTTTCAGTTAGCATTTTTACAAATAATGTGAACTAGCATAACTTAAATGTTAGCTCGTACACAATAGTTATCCTTATTATTAATATACAATTGTGCTACTGAACTCGAATAATAATAAAATTTACAAACAGAAACTGAATTTTGTGTGCAGGCAGTTTTATAATTA